AAAAAAAAAAAAAAGAAAGAAAAAGAAAAAAAGAGAAGAAAAAAGAAAATCCAATAGACCCTTCCCAAAAGCTATGAGAACTGATAAATGAATTCAGTAAAGTCACAGTATACAAAATCAATGTATAGAAATATGCTGCATTTGTAAACACTAATAATGAAGTCACAGAAAGAGAAATTAAGAATACAATCCCATTTGCAATTGCACCAAAAACAATACCTAGGAATAAACTTAATTAACCAAACAGGTAAAAGACCCGTACTCCAAAACTATAAAACACTGATAAAAGAAATTGACGATAATACAAAGAAATGGAAAGACATTCCATGCTCATGGATTGGAAGAACAAATATTGTTAAAATGTCCATACTACCCAAAGCAATCTATACATTTAATGCAAACCCTGTCAAAATACCAATAACATTTTTCATAGAATGAGAACAAATAATCCTTAAATTTGTATGGAACCACAAAAGATCCTGAATGGTCAAAACAAACTTGAAAAAGAAAAGTACAACTGGAGGTATTACAATTCCAGACATCAACTTATATTATAAAACTGTAGTAATCAAAACAGTATGGTACTGGCACAAAAATAGACACATAGAAATGTAACAGAATAGAAAACCTGGATGTAAATCCACAATTATGTGATCAATTAATCTTCAATGAAGCAGTAAAGAATATCCAATGGGGAAAAAGACAGTCTCTTCAACAAATGGTGTTGGGTAAACTGGACAGCAACATGCAGAAGAATGAAACTGGACCATTTTCTTTCACCATACACAAAAATAAACTCAAAAGGGATTAAAGACCTAAATGTGAAAACTGAAACCATAAAAATCATAGAAGAGAGCTCAAGCAGTAATTTCTCTGATATTGGTCATAGCAACATTTTTCTAGATATGTGTCCTGAGGCTAGGGAAATAAAAGCAAAAATAAACTACTGGAACTATAAAAACTATTTTATCAAAATAAAAAGTTTCTGCACAGCAAAGGAATCAACGAAACTAAAAGGCAATCTACAGAATGGGAGAAGATATTTGCAAATGACATGTCTGATAAAGGGTTAGAATCTAAAATATAAAAAGAACTGATGCAATTCAACATCCCAAAACCAAATAATCCATTTAAAAAATGGGCAGAAGACATGAACATTTGGCCAAAGAAGACATCGAGATGGCCAACAGACACATGAAAAGATGCTCAACATCACTTATCATCAGGAAAAATGAAAATCAAAACTCAGACCTGTCAGAATGGCTAAAATCAACAACACAAGAAACAAGTGTTGGCAAGGATGTGGAGAGAAAGGAACCTTGTTACTGTCGGTGGGAATGCAAACTGGTACAGCCACTGTGGAAAATAATATGGAGATTCCTCAAAAAGTTAAAAATAGAACCACCTTATGATCCAGTAATCACATTACTGGGTATTTACCCAAAAAATACAAAAACACTAATTCAAAGGGATACATGCACCCCGATGTATCTATTGCAGCATTATTTACAATAGCCATATAATGGAAGCAGTCTAAGTGTCTATCAACTGATGAATGGATAAAGATGTGGGATATATATAATGGAATATTACTCAGCCATAAAAAGGAATGAAATCTTGCCATTTGCAACAACATGGATAGAGCTAGAGAGTACAATGCTAAGCAAAATAAGTCAGAGAAAGATAAATGCCATATGATTTCATTCCTATGTGGAATTTAAGAAGCATAACAGTTTAAGAAACATAACAAATGAGCAAAGGGGAAAAAAGAGACAAACTAAGAAACAGACTCTTAACTACAGAGAACATCCTGATGGTTACCAGAGAGGAGGTAGGTGAGGAGATGGGTGAAATAGGTGATAGGGATTAGGAGGGCACTTATTGTGATGAGCACTTGGTGTTGTATGAAGGTGTTGAATCTCTGTCTTGTACACCTGAAACTAATATAACACTGTTTGTTAACTATACTGGATTTAAAATAAAAAACTTAATTAAAAAAAAAAAGAATCCTGCTTTAGGAAAGCTGGTAGGAAGAGATTAAGTCAATTATGGCAAACAATATAAGTAGATTAACATAATTCTGTCATGTTGTTACATGGGAATGACTCAATTTACTTGATCATCTAAAAATAAATGTTTTAGGGGCACGTGGGTGGCTCAGTCGGTTGCGTGTCCGACTTCGGCTCAGGTCATGATCTCATGGCTTGTGAGTTCTAGCCTCGCGTTGGGCTCTGTGTTGACAGCTCAGAGCCTGGAGCCTCTTCAGATTCTATGTCTTTTTCTCTCTGTCTCTGCCCCTCCCCTGCTCACACTCTGTCTCTGTCTCTGTCTCTGTCTCTGTCTCTGTCTCTCTCTTTCTCAAAAATAAATAAACATAAAAAAAAATTTAACTAAATAAATAAAAATAAAAATAAATGTTTTAGAAAAACAATACCTTTAATAGTAATGTTGTTGCAGAAACACAATTAGAGATTTTTTAAGGTATTATATCTGCTGAAGTTCTTATATAACCTCTGAAAGTTAGGCTAGGATCGACTTCATGGGGAGTTTTTACTCTTGGATGGTGGTTTCATATGGCCAGTTGGCTGCTCTAGGCTCCTCCTTCCTCACCTGAACAGAGGCAAAGTCCTTCAAACTAGTACTGCTTTTCCCATTTTTCCATCTTCTCCTTTCTCAAAATTATCTTCCACAGACCCCAATTTGGTCACTAAGCCCCTTAATCAAAACGTTTATAGGTTTCTGCCCTTGTATAGAGTATATTGAGGGTGTTGGATTTTAGGAGTAAAAAGGACCTCAGAGATGATTTAACTCTAGATCACTGCTTCTCAAAGTAACATGCTTCAGAATCACCCCTCCAGGGCTTGTTAAAATACAGATTCCTGGGCCTCACCCAGATCCAGGAGGTCTGAAGGGAGCTCCAGGTGATGCTGATGGTGCTGGTCTGTGGACCACACTCGGAGAAGCTCTACTTGTATTGCTTTACCTGACACATTCAGCTTTCTCTTAAATTTTCATTATAACAAAGGGTTTAATAACTGACACTCAACCATCTACTCTAAGTCTCTTGGTTTACCATACAAGAAAACAGTCCTGAAGAGCTAGGTTGCCTGGCCAGTGGGCCAGTGTTCTGTCCTCATACCATCTTTCTTCAGCCTTCCAATCTAGCGTTGAAGGCTCCAACTACATTTCTACCTTTATCTCTCCTTCCCTACAATATAACCGACCTCTCAGTTCTGTGGCAGTTGGGTCCATACCCTTTCCAAAATAAATCAGGACCTTTTTTTTTTTTTTAACTGTAAGCCTTTTCTAACACTACTCTTCCTTCTAACCTACCTTCCCATATACCTAATGTAATTATAATCCCAACATTTTGAACTGAACTCATTAACTCTTTGGACCTTAATCTCTGTTCTCTCAGGAACTCACATGGATGGCATATCTTTGACCTCAAATCATCATGAACTGTCCCACCTCCAAGATCCAGGAGTCCAAAAAATATATTGTTTTGACCACAGCCCCTAGGCTTTCGAACCCCTAGAGTACTGACCCTTCTTGCATCCTCCCAGGCAATTAGGATATACGTCCCTGAGCTGTACTCACCATCCTACCCAGAGTGGGTGATGCTCCACCTGCCTCTTCCCCAGGCCTCCAGAGTACCTTCCTTGACTTTCTGCCATGTCTGACTCATTAATCCCCATTGCAGAAGTAATCAAAAAATTATTTTTCTATTCCCTCTAAGCATTTTTAGCTATGGTCACATTACCATGTTGATCACTAATAATCTCAGCTAGAATTTCCTATCTCAAGTAGCCTGTATGTTCATGTCTAATTGAGTCTCCCTCAAGTTTCCAAAGATCTTCTTCAAAATTCCCATCATCGGGGGCACCTGGGTGGCTCAGTCGATTAAGTGTCTGACTTTGGCTCAGGTCCCGATCTTGCAGTTTGTGGGCTTGAGCCCCATGTTGGGCTCTGTGCTGACAGCTCAGAGGCTAGAGATTCTGTGTCTCCCTCTCTCTCTGCTACCTTGCTCATGCTCTGTCTCTCTCTCTCTCAAAAGTAAATAAACAATATTTTTTTTAATTCCCATCATCTCTAACACCCCCAAACCTACCCCAATGCCTCTCATTCTCAGCAGTGCCATCATCTCCAAGACAAAACACAAGAACAGAGAGAGCACAAGTCCGGGGCTGGACTGGGGAGGATTAGCAAGCCACACTGTGGAATTTGGACTCTCTCTCTTGGGCATTGAGAAGCCATTCAGAGTTCTGTTTTAGAAAAATCACTCTGGGGAGCCTGGGTGGCTCAGTCGGTTAAGCATCCGACTTTGGCTCAGGTCACAATCTTACATTTTGTGAATTCAAGTCCCACGTCAGGCTCTGTGCTGACAGCTGAGAGCCTGGAGCCTGCTTTGGATTCTGTGTCTCCCTCTGTCTGCCCTTCCCCTGATCTCTCTCTCTCTCTCTTAAAAATGAATAAACTCCAAAAAAAAAAAAAAAATCACTCTGATGGCTGTGAGGAGGATAAACTAGAACAGGGATATGGGCAGATAAATAAGAGGGATTCAACAAATACACAAAGGGGATAAGGGAGAATAAAGAATCAAGAATTGCTTAATACTGTACTTTGTGTATAGTAGATACACAATAGACATGTGTTGAACTAATTTATTCTGGCTCCAATTCTGAGGAAAATGTATATAGAAAAATATTTACTAAACTTAAAAAAAAAGTGCATAGCTGAGAGCAAGAATCCTTTTGCTATGTCTTGTCATAAGGCGAATAAAACTGATTATGCAATGGACAGATGGTGCAACAAGATATAAAATGAAATTAGCAATGATGCAACCCAGATGGAAATGAGGGAAAGGTCAATATGTTAAAGGTCAAAGGAATTTGGCTCCATCTTGTCTTGTTTCATAAAGGGCTAAGGTCACAGCTTGGGGGCTCTTACTGCAGGGAAGTTGTCAGACTATTCGCTGTGCTGAAGAACCAAATACTCACCCAGGGTTGTTCAAAGCTATAGGTACGTCGCCGATCTTCTACATCTTCATCCTGCTTTGCTTGCTGAAATTCTTGCCGTAGACGCTGTATCCGATCATGGTTGCTAGGAGTTGATCTGTTGCTAAAAGAGAGAAGGGGCAAGAATGAACACCCTTCAGAGATACAATCTGTGAATGGCAGTTGCTAGGGAAAAAAAAATGGCAGCTTGCTGTGAGAGGACACTGTTTAAGAGGAAGTGAATTTATAAAACAATATTTGGGCATTTAAAAGAAGTTTTCATTTTGTTCTTATGATTAAGATTTACTGAAGTTATTTCAGGCAGATATTCAAGAGGGCAAGCGGTATTTTTAGACATTCCTTTTTTATGCGGTATTTTAAAAGCCTCATTTCCTTTCTGTAATCTGACAAGGTGTTGGCAGCCAAATTTTTTTGGAAAGGACATTGCATTACAAATCAGAAATACCAGGGTCCTATCCTAGCTCCTCCACCTTCTTAGACGAAGGCACTTAATTTGAGTTGTGGGATTTTTTCATACATATGAAGTGGACATAATAATCACTTTTTCTCTGAATATCATACTTGCAACAATCAAGTAAGGTGACAGCATACACTGTAGCCTTACAAATGTGCAGTATTGTTTTCCTAATGCCATGATACAAAGTTCCTATTTAGGAGTTATCAAAGGTCTATACACAAAATGCAGTTTCTTACAGCATAAATGAAAAGCATTTTAAAAATAACTTTGGATGGTAGTTGGATTTCATCAGTTATTTAATAGTAATGTTGCCGTTTTTTTTTTTTTTTTTTTTTAAAGTAGGCTCTGCCCCCAGCATGGAGCCCAATGCCAGGCTTGAACTCATGACCCTGAGACCAAGAACTGAGCTGATATTAAGAGTCAGATGCTTAACCGACTGAGCCACCCAGGTGCCCCTGCCTTCTTCTTCTTCTTCTTTTTTTTTTTTTATAGTGTTAATCTGTTTTATCCTCACCAAAAGCTTGTAAGATAGGTACAGATGGTAGTATTTCTCTCTCTTCCACACACACGTGCGCGCACATACACATGTAGAAACTGACATCCAAAGAAAATAAGTGACTTGTTTGAAGTCTCTCAGCTGACCAATGGGGAGGCGAGGCTGGAATCCAGATTATTCTGGTGTCCAGTCCAGCCCTCATTTCACTGTGCCATGTTGTATCACTTAGTAAAACATATCTCAGACTCCAAAGCCCCCGCTTTATAAAATCACACAGATTTTAAACACAGTATTTTGCAAGAGTTGTAGAGATGGCCAAAATCAATCTTAAATCTCATGGCACTTTTGGTCTATTTTACTCCCTGAGGACTAAGGTGTATCCTATCAGGGGATTTATTCAAGCGTATTAGGCACATGCTGTCTCCCCAAGAAAACATCAGACTCCTTGAGGACAAGAATCAAGCCTTATATTTATCATATATACTCTCCAAACTGCTAGCAGAATGGGGAGCTGTAAGCTATTAGAAGACCAAGTCTCTTCATTGAAAACATGTTGCCCTGGTTATTTGGTGTGAATCTGAATTTTTCTGGCTGCCCACCCTCCTGGGTAATGTAATTGAGAGATGTAGCTTGTAAAGAGAAAGTCTGTCATAGTAGAGTATATAAAAATCTCAAATTCATATATGTCTTGACATAATTCTATGCCTTTTGAAGAATTCCAAAGACTTAAAAATCGCAAATTGAAAATATTTGCATATAGAACCACAATATTAATGTCTTCCAAGAATATGGGATAATCATTTAAACTATGGGGTAGATCCCTGTCACCTTTATGTTTCTATTAATTTCATTAGAGCTTCTGGAACATCCTGTCAATACTTTCAATTTGATTATTTTCCCAGTCAATAAAAGCTTGCCTTCCCTTTGTTCTTCCGACAAATATTTTGAACTGATTGCCCTAAGAACATTAAAGGTTAATGGGCCTATAAAATGTGCTACTTGGCATGATGCTTCAGTCTACATTTGTATACAGCTTAAAAGTGCCCCACCATACTCTTAAGCAGGTTGTTACTGGCTTTTACTTTTTAAAATTTTTTGTTTATTTATTTTTGAGACAGAGAGAAACAGAGCATGAGTGGGGGAGGAACAGAGAGAGAGGGAGACACAGAATCTGAAGCAGGCTCCAGGCTTTGAGCTGTCAGCACAGATCCCGATGCAGGGCTTGAACCCACAAACCATGAGATCATGACCTGAGCCGAAGTTGGACGCTTAACCAACTGAGCCACTCAGGCGCCCCAAGATTGTTAATTGGCTTTTAAAAAACATATATGGCAGCTTATAGTTTTGAACACAGTGATTTTCAATAAAGGCTTCTCAATGTTAACACCCAATCTCTGGAACTCCTTGCTCTCCATGTGAAACAGTGGTAGTATAGGCATGAAGACAGTTCATAAGACAGGAAAGTGAGCATTCATTAACCTCATTGCCATTTCTCCAACTGTGCCTTTTTTGTTCCTGGAATACTTCTTCATAGCTTCTAATAGAAGGATTATAGGAGGCTTGACTGAAGAAGTATTTTATAGGTCTAACCAGAAATATTTCGTATTATTTTCATGTACCATTGCGAATTTTAACCCTATAATTATTAAGTTCATGAAGTCCAAGCCATTGATGAAAATTGATGTCCTACTATTTGTAGTTAATTGAAAGTGCAAATCTCCCAACAAGGGAAGTTGACCCAGTGTCCTTAATTCTAAATTCTGGTGACCTTGATGTTTTTCACAGTATAAGCCAAGTTCTGGAAGTCACTTTTGCCCTCATTTCAAATCTCAGCAGCTGGTGATACACTGCTTCACTCTCTTTTCTTTTGCTTCCTTTCTTCCTCTGCTCTAGAGAATGGCAACCAACTTGCCTAAGACTAGCAAAGCCACTCTAAGGGCTGAAATTGAAAAACAGGCTGCAATGGTTTTCATGATTGATGATGACTTCCAAAGACTGGGAGACCATCAAGCATCCTTGGGGGACACCAGTTGGCAGTCTGAAGGTGAAATCCTGGCTTCAAGAATGAAACCATTGCAACTGCTCACTCTGTTTCTCAGGCCAGTCTACAACAGGCCAATAATTCACATTTGGACTTCTAAAGTTCTTGGTTAGCTCTTCTGCCAAGACAGCCAAAGGAAATTTTAAATATTCATTAGCATTAGTGGCTAATCCCTACACATCCCAATCAACTTATATTTAGGTTCGTTGCCAACTTCCAGTTGCTCATTATTTTTCTGTGTGTGATGAATATAATAAAGATACCATGAATCGATCAGATGAGTGAGAGAGACAATTCAACTTAATGACAAGCCACTAAATCATAATTTCTACAGAAAGGAGGGATGAAGAGAGGAATTATAGAGATGCTTTATTTTTTATAAAGAATCCACACAGACAGACATAAGACAATTTAAGTCTAACACTAATTCAGCCTTCCCTTGCACATTGTTTTTTTAGTTTTAGTCCAGCTGGAATTTTCTTTTATACTTTTATGTGTGTGTGTGTGTGTGTGTTATGTGTGTGTGTGTGTGTTTATATATAAATTTTACACTAAGTGCAGAGGGTTTGTTTTGGTTCAGTGATATCTGGGAATCTTTCTGACAGCACTGGCTCACACACTACAGAGATTCCTAATCCGGCATGCACAGTGCAGCCCTGAATGATATGGAACTCAAATCTTTCTCATCCATAATTACCATGGTGATTGTACCCTCTCCTGGTAGAGGTAGATCACACAGAGGACTAGGCTCTGCAACCTTCAGAATGGACCACTGCAATGTGCTTTGCAAAAGTAGCTGAGCATACCAGTTCATGCTAACTGCAGCAAGGATCCTATTTGCAGGTAAGGGCCAAATCCTGTCCTGCACCTGTGCTCCACAGGCCATGCTATCCAACCATCTCCTTAGGTACAGTGAATGAGAAGAGAAACGTCAACAGTCGTGCTCGTGTATACATAGTATGTGTATGAGACTCATCCAGAGTGCTTGTTTAAACCTGCTGATCGACTGAGACTCACCTAGAGAGATTCTGATTCAGGCAGTCTTGTGCAGGTCCTGGGCATCGGTATATTTTTAAAAGCACTGCAGGTGGTATACGGACAGTACTTTGAAAACAATTCAGCCTGCAAACTTCATGGCTGGGACAAATTCCAATGCCTATGGGGCAGTTAACTAAAGAGTGAACGAAATTTGATGGCTGTGGCAGTACCCATGTACATTCTGTAACAAATGGGAGTAATATGCTAGGTCTAGAAAGGGAGACCCTTACTCGGTCCCAGTAGATTGCTGTCCTGAAGGGATGTGAGCCTGGTGTTGCCTTCTAATTTTTTTTTTTTAAAGAGAAGTCAGAACTATAGTTTTCTCCCCTGCTGCCCAAATTTTTAATGTTGGCTTACTTTATTTTTTTGGTCCTATGCGAGACAAAACAAAAACCAAATACCAAACAGGTCTGTGGCCAGCTAACTTGCAACCTCTATTTTGTATTCTGTAGATGTTGCCTGTTTTATATGTTGCTTTTCTAGGCTATTTACTTCCACTGCACCAAGATAAGGCCAGTGATCCCCTAGTAACAGGCCCAAGAAACAACTATTTTTTAAAAAAGACAACTTAGCATTGTCCATATAGTCCTGCCTCTCCTAAATTGTTTGCTCCTTCTGATCTAAGCCTGGGTGTATTGCCCTACAGGCTTGAATTCTGACCTATCTTTCCAGATGAGCATATGCTGAAAGAGAAGAGTTTGTGATGTGACTGATTAATTCTTTATGGACTAAAAATACCTTAACATTTGCATTTTTAATTATGCAAAAGGAATCTGGAAAACTGGAACAGAGGCCATAGCTTGAAGAGCCAGAATTCAATAGTAGGGATAACCAGAAGGTACCATCTTGGTATACACTATCTTTTCTGCACAAAGAAGAAAAACATGAAAGGGAAAGGAGAAGGTAGACAGAAGGGAGAGAACGAACTGAGCCAGGCTTTCCATGGTGCCCAGAAGGGAGAAATGATTAAGATCTCTAGTATAAGAAAAGAGAGGAAGGTAAATTCACTCATATCTTTCTTCCTGTAATATCCTCTCGTTTCCTTTCCATCTTCTGATTCTTCCAGCAAAC